CATTAGTGTAGCACTGTTTCCTGCAGCCAATGGTGATGAATACATTGATAATTATTTTATGTTGGCTACAATAATGACATTCCAACTAAGAGCTTGACACTCACTTTTTAAAACTGCTGAATCCACTGAGCTGGATTTCTGCAGAAATTTCCTTCTTACAACCCGAAACTCAGGCCAACTGGATCTGGCTGATAGCACAGAAGGCAGGAGATGCTCATCCTACCTGTTGCTAACACCTAAATCCACTCCAGGGTCTCAGCCCTTTGGGTACCCAGCACCTGTCTCCTTTTACTATGCCTCTTCCACAGAAAAAGTTTCATCTGTCCCAGATTCAGGCAATGCTAGAGAGTGACATTTTGTTTCACATTCTACAATCTCAGAGTTGGGCAAAAAGGATGTTTTGAGTTTATTTCTGGCTCCCTGCACTCAGATAAGCAGGTCTAAAATGAGCAAGAGGCCTCCATATGGATGGGCTAGAACTCCCTTTCAGCTTCTAACCAATATGCTAACAATTCCGATCCACAGCCACCTCTGCACCAGCTGCTCTGCTGGGGCCATTTGTTTCCTGACTACTTTCCTGATTTTTTTTTTTTTTGCTTATGCTTAAAATAATTGCCCCTTCACCAGCTGGATCTTGACTGGTACTTGCTGAGATTATGCCTTGTTGACTATCTGGTAGTTATCAGAAGGATCTAGATAAGAAAATGGGATAATATTCATATTCAGATGCTATAAATAGCCATAAGGAGATGATTTAATTCCAACATTTGGCTCTTCTATGTTAAACTGCTTGTCAGTTTGTTAAGGCGAGATTGCAATAAATCACCAAGTGGATCTTAAAACAGGAGACGAAAACCCACGGTATCCACCAGCTACTGGGCCAAGGGATAGGCTGCAAGTCTACACCCTTCAACTCCCTTCTAGGGTTTGAGTATACCTTTTATAGTAAAAAAACATATTAAAGCATAAGTGGCTGTTGTTACGATTCAAAACCATAAACAAACGTCAGGAGATCTAAAATCATAAGCAGGAAAGAGAGTTTGCCAAAATGACCCTAGTTGTATACAAGTTAAAGAATGTTTACTAACATCTAGACAATCAATCTCGGACAGGGTACATTGTCCAAGAAAAAATGGGAACCAAAGAGAGAATACTTTGACATTGTATAAGAATTGCCATTTTGTGTTGCCAAACATACTATGCTAAGCAACTGTTAATGGGTACAGAGGTGGGGCTTTCCCTGGGAGAAGCATATCTTATATGATGTGGAATCTCAGGGCAAAATGAAGTCTGTTTGGTCATTGCTCATATAGTCTGGCCCATAACAAGTTTCTAGGCCATAAACATTTAAACATAGTTTTGTTATGATATCTAATGTCACAGTGAGTATGTAGTTGATGCCTAAAATACTTAAGAAACATCAATCTGACATTATTAGTTGAAAGGTAAGCTTCAACATTGGTATTAAAAGTGTTTGTTATTAGCTGGGCATGGTGGCACATGCCTGTAATTCCAGCGACTTGGGAGGCGGAGACAGGAGGAGGCGGAGACAGGAGCATCACGAGTTCAAAACCAGCCTCAGCCACTTAGTGAGGCACTAGCAACTCAGTGAGCCCTGTCTCTAAATAAAATATAAAAAAAGGGGTGGGGATGTGGCTCAGCGGTTAAGCACCGCTGAGTTAAATTCCCAGTATCAAAAAAAAAAGTATTTATAATTAACAACGAGTTTCTCAGAATCAACCTTTTCTTTCTTTCTTTCTTTCTTTCTTTCTTTCTTTCTCTCTCTCTCTCTCTCTCTCTTTCTTTCTGTATTGGGGACTTAACCTAGGGGTACTTTACCACTGAGTTAAAATCCCAGTTAACCCCAACTGTTTTTTTAAAAAATTATTTCATTTTTAAATTTTGAGACAGGATCTCATTAAGTTGACCTTCAGTTGCTGAAGGTCTTGCTATGTTGCTTAGTCTAATCTTCAACTTGTGATCATCCTGCCTTAGGCTCCCAAATTGAGATTAGAGGTGTGTAATCACCATGCCCACTGGAATAAACTTTCATTGTTCTGATGAAAGCTTGAAGAGATGGCTACCAAGGGTACCATTCTAAAGAAATAAAGCAATGGCTTAATTACAACTGGTTGAAAGGAAGAGCTGAGTGGTTGGCTGAGTGTTATCTGACCAAGCACCTTCATGCCTTGGTGTAGAGGCCAAGGGCTGATGGGTCAGGTTCATTCAATGAGGATGGTCTTTTTACTGTCTATGACACCTAAGGATAGGAGCTTGTACCTGGCCCAACTGGTGAACGCTGTCACCAACCATTCAGGATGAAGAAACCTGAAATTACCAGAGAACATTAAGATCTACAAATTAGTTTTAAATAAAATAAGTCTTTAATTAGTTACCAAAGTGGTATGTTGTACATACCAATAATATGATAAATAATATAATAAAGATAGACATGTCAGGCATGTTCACATAGATGAAATGAGTTTCATGTCAATTTATTCTAGACATCAGTATCCTAATTTTAATTAAAAGGATCACATTGGGGCTCAGAGAGATTCAAAATCATATAATTGGTAAAGAGAAGAATTGAGACTTACCCATATCTCTCTCCTAGCTCCCAGATTCTTTCCAACACATTTTCTTTCCAGCCCATCATACCTGTGATATTTAGCTTGCTTCTTCACCCAGAACACATGGCTATATTTCAGTCTTATGATAAAGAATTTATACCTAGTATAAGCAAAAATTACAACAAAAACCTCTAGTTACTGCTCATGTGGAGTACTTGCATAGGATGTCTGCTAGCACAATTATACTTCTATCATCAAGACCAAAAACAAAGGTCAGGGGCCCCTTGCCATACCCTCTCCCTTCCCAAAATGCCCTCCACTTGGAAACCCCAATCAGAGACACAGAATGAGCTTTCAGACAGCAAGTAGCAGAGGTGAGTTTCAGAAAATCAATGTATTCACACATACACAGAGACACTCAGCCAGCTGGGCTGTCCTTTGCCGTCACAGCTACATGTACAGCCCTGATGCATCTGGCTGGCTCTTCTCAGAGACTGTATGCAGAAGGGTAAGTTGAGTCCTTCCTCTTCTTAAATTGCCATCTCAGTTTATAAATTCTGACTGCCCCTTGCTTTAATAATTATGTTTCAAAAGCTGTGACTCTGAAACCTCCTACTGTAATCAGAGAAGGCTTAAAGCACAAGACAGGAATGGGAGGAACACCAATTTGTCTGGTTTCTGTTATAATCTGAAAGCTTTCAAAATAATCCTATTGGGCTTTTTAGATGAGACAATCCATCAGAAGCTGAAAGGAGATTCAGTAGAGACCCCCTGAGACTCAAGATCTAAGTAGAGTAGATTGAGAGACTCAAATGACAAAGGATACTGACACACAATGAAGAGACGGCTCTCTCCCCACTTCTGCCTGAAACCCAGCATCTCACTCTGCCTACCAAAGCCTGGAGAGGAGAAGATAGCTGGAGACAGCACCTGGGGCATGAAGACTTCCATGAACTCTTCCAAGCTCTGTGAACCTCAGACACACAGGAGTGGGAACAAGATGGGGGAAGAGAATCAGAGAAGTCACCACACAGAGCTACACCCAACACATAGGCATGTGGACACATAAAGCACCATTTTAGGGACTTCCTGAAAAAACTGGGGGACATTTTGAGAGTCCTGAGGGCCTGTTTTTACTTGGGTGAAGGACAGTACTACAGGAAATGTATACACATATATCTCTTTTAGAATCTGGAAAGATAATTTTTGGGGAGGGAAAGTGAGATTATGAGAGGAGGCAGGAAATTCTTTCTATTGTATATACTTCTGGGCCGTTTAACTTTTAAAATATTTTTTATTACTTTTATAATAAAAACTTAGAAGAAGATAGTCATGTTTAGAAAAACTAAAAGCTATACAATATATGGCATTAGCTTTCAAGGTCTGAACCCTTCTCTGCAGCATGGCTAGTGACAACACTAGTCCTGAGCAGAGCCATCTAGTTAGTTCCTGTCCAAACCTATGGCAGGGAATGAAGTACAGAGCAGAAGGATGCCTGAGAGCTTCCCTTGCTCCAGTTTCTGAAACTGAATCATGCGGAAGGTCAAAAGCTGGTTCAGTGTTCACTGTGAAATGCCAAGTTTAGCTATAATCTCTGGCCTAGAGGTCTTGCTCCCAGAGCTCTTAGAAAAACTATGTGACTTGTGGATTCACCTTGGATTCAGTTTGTCTCTCACACATTGCAAACAAGAGATCAGACTAGGGTCTCAGGCCCTGCTGCTCTCATGAAAATGTCCAGAGTCTTCACTGAAACACACATGACCTGGCTCTGTTTTCCTCTCCATCCTGTGCCCCTCTTCCAGCTCTTGCTCCAGGCACTAAACTAGGTGTGATGAGCTCTCTAATCTGGGGCTTCTCACCCTACACCTGCCTCACAGCATATTCTTTGGTTTCCACTGCCTAAATATTCCCTGCAGAATTCTTCCTGAGCACCCCTGGGTTAGATACCATCAGCACTGCTTCTAGATCACCCTGAGGCCATCTGAAGAAGCACCGTTATAGAATGGTTGCCTGATTGTTTGTCAGTGTCCCCACCAGACTGTTGGCTCTTCTTGTTGGCAAGAGCTGTAGTATTTACCACAGTTGCCTCTAGTTCTGGGCAAAAACTAAACAAACACTGGCTGAATGAGTAACCTGCAGGTCTGGCCGAACCCTTAAGGCACCCTTGTCAGGTCAGGCACAGAACATCCACAGGCTGCACTCTCACTTGTTCACCCACAAGTACCATATCTAGACTGCAAATTCCTCCACCTAAAATTCTCAATAACCTTTTAGCGGTCCTTTTAAAGGGGGGGGGGCGGTGTGTGTGTGTTTAGAACCCAGCAGCGCGGCCGCCCTTGGTGGAGGAGTAGGGCCTCAAATGCCAGTAGCCTGCCAGGGGTGCGGGCTAAGTCGGGCGCGCAGTCCTGACATCGGCAGGGGTAGCCCTGGCGCGTGCAGCTCTGGCAGCCGCGTTGCCGGTGCTCTAGGCCCTTGCGCCCGCCCACCGCCAGCCAGGGATAATCACCTGCGGGCTGGAATCCCGCTGCAGGTTCTCACCCTGTCCCAACTCGCCGCGAGACTAGTAACCGTCAGGAAGCACTTTGCCCGGTAGGGATTTCTGTTTAGTCGTTGTCTTCCAGGAAACAGCTTCCTCAGTTTGGAGTCAGCTCTCCGGCTGCAGAAGCCAGAGACTCAGCAGCGGAGCCGCAGCCTCAGCACCTCCCTCTCAGGCTGCCGCTCAGCAGCGGTCCGGCCTCCTCCCACCCGAGCGCACTTCGGCTTCCCGCCGCGCGGGGTCGGAAGCCTCGCGCTAGCCCCTGCGGTCTCGGGCACCACGCCCTGCGAGGCGGCCGTCTTCTCGCTGGCCCCGTCGCCTGGCCCCTCTGGTGGCCGCCTGCATGGGCACCTACCGCCGCGCAGCCAGGGCTCTCCTGGCGCGAGCCCGCACCCTGCACCTGCAGGCTGGGAACCTGCTGAGCTGGGGCCGTCTGCAGAGGAAGTGTCTTTCCACGCACAGCGAGGAGGTGAGGGCCGGCCAGCAGCGTCCGCGCAAATCCAGGTTCTGGGGCAGGCGGCCGGCCAGGGCAGGTGAGGGAGAGCACGCCTGGGCGCCGCTGGGGACTGCGGCCAGGGTCAGTGCAACCTCTTGTCCGGACCTGCCGCCTGGGGCCGAGCGTCCTAAAAACTCAGCAGGTGCAGCTGCACACCCAGTGCCGCCTCTGCCACTGTTCGAGGTGGATAGCAGAACTCTGAGACGCGCTGGCAGGGGAATCGGGGAGCGCCAGTAAGTGGCTGGGTGCCTCTATCAATCTCTTGCTCTCTTCCCCACCCTTTCCTTTCGAAAGGAATATTCGAAAGATTAACTTTTGGTAAATGAAATAATATTCACAATACGCTTAACTTTGTGTCAATGTTGGTATTAATCTATTGCTGTGAAGCAAATGACGAAACAACTCAAATTTGGTTTGGGCGTAGACACGAATTTTTTTCTTACTGGAAGTTAATCTGCCTCATTTTATTTTCCCGAAGGCTGATCACTAGTTAGTTGGAGGTGGCAGATGTTAATCTAGAAGTATGCACTTGTTACTCCTTTGTTGCTGACTCTTTCTGAGCCAGTGAGTAGTCATCTATTGACTGCACAAGTAATTTGTGGCACGGAATAATTTTAGTACTTGAAAAAAATTCCCAGTGACTATGTGCGTTTATGATGTGTTGGTTAAATGTAAAAGTAATAGAACAAAAACTTCAGGAGCCATGCGACTTTGGGAAAGAAGCTTTGAAGTTGGATGCTACCTTCCTCATCAGGTTGTTGTGAAAATTAAGAGATTATATATGAAAATACTCAACCTAGGAGAGTTTATCTCCATATAACCTGGTTCTATCAGAAAAATGCCTTGATTAAAAGAACCAGTTGCCTCAACTGTCAAATTATCAGCTGTTCAGAGTAAGATTTAGCTATTTTTATAGAGAGCTGTTGTCCACAGAACCTGCAGTAAGTAGCAGTTTGTATGTGTGGGGAACCAGCAACCTTCAGGAAGTGAGAACTCTTGGTTGTCACTTTAATATGCACCAGAATCCCTATCCTATTCTATGTTTGGGTTCCAACTTTGTTTAAACCACCCACTTTGACTTTCTCTGAAAGATAAGTATTTCTATATTTGTTACATAGAGCCTTAATTTCTTTCAGCAGTGATAGTCATGACCAAGGTAGCTGGAAGTTCTGCAGGTATTTTGATGATATTGGTGAGATTTTTTTCTGTTATATCACTATAACACATTGTAGAGTAGTGGCTTTCAATTTTTTTTTACTCCAAATGGTAAGAAATGTATTTTACCCATGCAGTTCATAATTATATATTTATATGTGTGTATCAATATGTCTGAAACAGAGATCTCACAAAAAGATGTTAACTCTTTTTTACTGAACCATCTCATTTTTTTTCTATCCTGTTTTTAATTTTTTTTTTTTAACAGGATGCTGGGGATGAAACTCAGGGTCTCACACATGCTATCCAAGGGCTCCACCACTGAACTACACTGGGACAGTGTGTGCTGATGCACACAGTTTTCTGAAAAACATTGTTCAGAGGATTAATTCTGGTCTGTAGTGTTTTGTTTGGGGTGCCTTGTCAGAGTAGAACAAAACTAAAGGCCCTAGGACATTTGAGGAAAATGTGAAGAAATAGCAGCATATTGTAGGGAAACTATAACAGTTTAATTAGAGTAGGATAGGCATGTTTAATTTCTATGTAAATAAGTTTTCATAGAGAGCTCCAGAATGGGATGTACCAGTTGAAACAGCTCAACCTCATTGAAGAGATTAAAGAAAGTGAAAAAAATCATTCATTATTAAAAATTTACACATTCGATAGTGTTCAATTCTTAAAAAATGTTTTCTAGTTCTAATGCTTTTTTGATTCTATGATTTTTTCCCCATATTTTTGTGTTTCACTAGAGTTTTATGAACTCAAATATTTTACAAATTGTATTTACTTATTTATGACAGTGCTGAGGATTGAAACTAGGGTCAAATATTGTTTATATATGAGTCATTGTAAGATTGTTTTGCCCTTTCTGTTGTTGAGTATTTGATCAGTTGAATTGTGGTATTTTTAAGATTCTTAAGCCATTCTGGATCTAATATACACTACACTGTGATGATAGTTATCTTTCGTGATACTGTGTATGTGATGATGAAGAAAGCAGGAAACAAAAAGGCGTAAGGTTAATATTCAGTCAATATAGATAACATGTAACTTACAAAATTAAAAATCATTCAGTTTGTAATATAGTCAGTGAATTTATTTATAATCATAACTTTAAACTTTTCAATTTATCCTGAATTTTGCAGAAACCAATATTAATTAAAGAAATGGTTTCAGAAAAGGGGTGAATACTTCGTTCTGAATTTAAGAATTCATCAGGAAAGCCTTCTATGTAAATGAATCATCCAGAGAAAAATTTCTTTGAATTCTCCCACAATTTGAGCCAAAGCAGTGCTAATAAAATTGTTAACTTAATCAGTCTTGCTTCCTCAACAGTTACTGATTTATCTGGTAAGATTATCAACTAATTTTTATCTACCGACTTCAAGTTGATTAGAAATACATTTTGCATAAGAATATACACCTTGTAACTTAAATTCAAGTAAGTTACTATGGGTAGATAATAAATTATTGTTGTAGATTGTAAATCCTAACATAAGTGGCTGTGTGCCCTTAAATTGATTAACCAGTTTTCCCTTTGATTTCTATATTAAGAAGTAGTAAAGTGCTTGTGTCAGTTTTTATCATAGGAAATTGTTGTTTAGAAGGTTAGTTTCTAAAACAACAATTTCCTTCTAAACAACAATTTCCTATGATAAAAACTGACACAAGCACTTTACTACTATGGCTACGACCAGCCATATAACCTTATTCTTGAAATCAGTTTTTGTTTCTTTTTTAATATTTATTTTTTAGTTATAGGTGGACACAATGTCTTTATTTTACTTTATGTGTTACTGAGGATTGAATCCAGTGCCTCATGTATGCTAGGCGAGTGCTGTATCTCTGAGCCATAACCCCAGCCCCATTTTTTGTTTCTTTATGAATGCTTCTAAGTTTTAGAAGTTTAAAGTTTCCTTGATACAAAAACAGGGTAAAAATAATTAGACTTGCTTTGGGGTCAAGAATGTTTGGGAATTATGAGTAGAATAAAAACAGGTCTGAATTTATCTGTTGAAGGCAACAAAAACCTTGTAGAATTAAACTTTAGATTTGTGTGATAAATTGTATTGATGTTTTTTTCCCCCTGCTTAATTTACCAAACTATGCATTCTTATTGTAGATGTAGGGTGAGTGAATAGAGTTTGATTAACAGTTTAAAAATGCATTCTTTTTGCAGCTTCAAGATTGTATCCAAAAGACCTTGAATGAGTGGAGTTCCCAAATCAGCCTGGATTTGGTCAGGATAAGTGGAAAGTGACTGCAGAAATCCTGCAGGTCAAAAGGGAAGTGAAGTAAGCAGGAAGTTAACTTCCTAAGTTTGGGAGGGAAGTCAAATAGCCATCAAACCCCTTGTGGCTGAGTTGCTGAGATGACAATCTGATCCAGCTGAATTAAGCATAAAGCAAAAAAAAATCTGGACTCTGCAGGCAACTCTTCACCTAGACAAGATGATGGGATTCTCATGCTGAATTCCCACTAGTTTCTTCACCAGTAGTGTCTTCTTTCTATTGATATTGGTCTGGTAGAAGAATGATTATCAGTCAGCTTTGATTGGTAGATTACTTAGATAGAATATCCCCTCCAATAATATAGTCCCTAGAAATAATTTCTATAGTGAACAATAAGGAACAATATTTCATTAAATGTCAGTATATGATTATTATTGTAAATGTTAATATAAAAGTACCTGTCTATAACCACCCTGAAATCCAGATTCCTTTAAAAGAGTAAAAGAGGATATGTGCTGGAAACACTTGTTCCCTTGTTCATACTGCAGATTTATAACTCTGTAGCTACTGTGCAGGCATTGATTAATGTCTTTGATTTCTGCTTCTCTGAAATGACCATTTACCTTATGTATGCCTGACTTGTAACTGGATTCCTGGTATGTACGAGGTAATGTAATGGGCTCGTGAATCATGGCAAAGGCCTCACTGTTTTCTTTGTTAAATCTTGTTCTGTAAATTAGTGTTTCTTACTGATATGTATTAACATTTTTAATCGCTATCCTTATAAATTATTCATTATAATGCATTAGAATGGCCCTTGCTTTTTTAAAACATTGCACTCAGGGAAAAAATCGTTTAAAAATGTTTGTGATTACAAGACTAAACATGTAGTCTAGCTAGATATTTATCAATTGAATTGATCTTTTCAAACAACTAGCTTTTTGGTTACATTGATTTATGTTTTTATCATTATTTCTTTTTACTTTGGATGTAATTCTCTCTGTTTTCTAGGTTCTCCATGGTAGAGAGGATACCAGTAGACATTACAACATATTTAGCACCATCATCCATTTGATGTTGGTGGGTTCTTGGTCTTGAAAATGGACGTGGACTTTCCATTGATGACAAGCTTTGTGTTCTCAGCCTTAACTGTGTCATTGAATTCCCAATGGGTGTAACAGGTAGGTGTGCAGTTGAGGTCAATGAAGGGGTCACTGATGGCAACAACACTTACTTTGCCAGAGTTAAAAACAGACCTGTGGACAGGTACCCAGTATGGCCACATCCACCTTGACTACCTTATCATAGGAATGTAATAGCACTGCATGAGACAAGAAGATACAGGTTTCTGTCCAACTGGGATGAGCAGAGAGACTTTTTGGAAAGCTTGGAATTACTGATTTAGGCTCTTCCTTTTAAATTTTATTTATTTATTTTGCCATATTAGAGATTGAATCCAGGTCTATGAGTGTGCTGGCAAGTGCTCTACCACTGAAGTCCTTCCCCAGCCCCAGACCTTTCCTTTTTTTTTTAACATTTATTTTTTTAGGTGTAGATGGAAACAACACAATGCCTTTATTTTTTATGTGGTACTGAGCCACAATCCCAGCCCCTAGACCCTTCCTTTTTTATAAAACATCTAAAGCTGTATATTTCTCTAACCATAGTTTTTACTGTAAAAAATCTCCATATTTTGAAATGTGTGTTTTTTTTTTTTGTTCAGTTCAGAATACTTTAAAATTTCCCTTGTGGAAATTTGACCCATGGGTTATTTTAAGGATGTTTTATAATTTCCAAACATTTGTGGATTCCACAGATATTTTTCTGTTATTAATTTTGGATTTAATTTTGTTTGCGTCAGAGAACATATACTGTATGATTTCAGTCCTCTTAAATTTATGAAATTTTTATGGTCTTCCATAGGATATCTTTTAGTAAATATTCCATATGCATTTGAAAAGAATGCCATTGTTTGGTGGTGTTTTCTGTAAATGTCTGCAGGTCAAATAGGTAGGTAATATTGTTAAAATCCTCTATATTCCTAATAACCTTTGGAGCTATTTGTTGTGTTAATTACTGAGAGAATTGTTGCTATTTTAAGTAACATTTGGAATTTTTCTGTTTTCCTTTATATTTCTGTGGGTTTTTGCCTTATAAATATCCTGGACCTCTATTTTTAGGTGCATATACTTTTAGGATCATTATGACTTTAGGATGAAATGACTCATTTATTATTTACTTTTTGTGCTAAAACATTGCACTCAGGGAAAATTAAAATTGTAATCACAATTAACATTTATTATCTGATATAACAGAGCCACTTTAGCTTTCTTGTGATTAGTGCTTGTATGGCATATCTTTTTCTGTTGTTTTACTTTCAATATATGTTTCTTTATATTTCAAGTATGTTTTTATATGCAAGGGGTAGTCAGATCTTATTCTTATTTCTTTAAAATATTTATGTTTTAGTTGTAGTTGGACACAATACCTTTATTTTATTAATTTATTTATATATGGTGCTAAGGATTGAACCCAGGGCCTCACATGTGCTAGGTGAGTGCTCTACTGCTGAGCCACAACCCCAGCCCCAGATCTTATTTTTTTACTCAATCTGAAAATATCTGCCTTTTTATAGGGGCTTTTAAAGTATATTTAATTATTGACATGATTGGGTTTAAGGTTGCCACTTTGCTGTTTTTCATTTGTCCCATGTACTATTGGCTTCTTTTTCTTATACTGCTGTCTTTGGATTAGATTTTTAAATTGTATTTATGCATACTATTGACTTATTAATTGTACTGCTGAAAATTTTAACCTACACTTTTAAATTATTATAGTATATTTTTGAATAATACTGTGCTATTTCACATATAACAAGCTTCCTATGTTTTTCATTTTCTCCTTCTTTAGGCCATTTTCATGCATTTTACTTCTATATATATCATGAATGCCATGACACACTGTTACTGTGTATGTTTTCAACCAACTTTTAAAAAAGAAATTACAAAATGTGCTTGTTTGAAACTTCATTGGGGTAGTTTTCATTACAGCTAGATGTACTAAGGACATGTGTTTCTGAGATCTGCACTTGGGTGGTGTTCAGTGGGTCACTCTGCTCTGGCAAATGAGAACTCATAGGTCTTCCAGGTCTTCAGGGAACCTGGGAATTGTATAGCTCCAGCTCTCTTGAAATTCTTTGCCCATCCTTTTGGAGTTTTGTCCTACACATGTGTATCTTGATATTCAGCAAGAGAATTAAGGAATTCCCTATGTGAATTCCTGGAGCTCTTCCTCCTTCCACATTCTCCCTCTTGTATCTGTTCTATGGAGTCTAACCACCCCAGTTCCCTAGATTATGATCTATCTCTTAGCAAGACTGCCACACTCTGCCTTGCTTTCCCCTTTCTGTTTTTTGGTCTGTGCCTTTGGGCAGAAAGTTGGGGAGATTGTAAGGCTTCCCTCATTTGCTTATGATTTTCTCTTTCAGGGATTACAGTTCTGTGCTGTGTGTATTTCAGTGTCTGAAAACAATGTTTATTTTGTGCAGTTTTCTATTGTTTACTACCATGGAAGGATAAATCTGGTCTTGTTAATTCTTGCACTTAGTATATATTTTTTAAAATATATTTTTAGTTGTAGATGGACACAATACCTTTATTTTATTTTATTTATTTTTTAATGTAGTACTAGGGATCGAACTCAATGCCTCACGCATGCTAGGTAAGCACTGTACCACTGAGCCACAACCCTGGCCCTTGATATATGTTTTAAGGATTTTTAAAAATACTGATCACTCTTTTTAAAAATGTCTTTATTTTTTTATGTGGTGCTGAGGATCAAACCCAGTGTCTTACACATGCTAGGCAAGCACTCTACCACTGAGCCAAAACCCCAGTCCAAGGATTTTTTAAATCTAGGGATTTGTTGTTCCACCTGTTTTCTTGCAGCTTAATTTGTTGAAGAAATTTTATTTGTCCAATAGAATGACCCACAGTCCTCATTTTGTGTGTGTCATAATTTAACACATTTCTCTTGTCCTAAAGCTTACAAAGTGATAGTTGAATCTAGAATAGGTATCTTAACCTTTGGCACTGTTAACCATTTGGGGCTGATAATTCTTTGTTGAGGATGGGGGCTCTCCTGTGCACGTAGGCTATTTAGTAGCATCTTTAGCCTCTACCCACTAGATGCAGAGGGTAGAAAAAAAAATCCAAACAACAAAAAACCCCCAAACAACAAAAATCCAGGTCTCTAGACTTTTTCAAGTGTTTTCGTAGTAGACCCATGTTATCCTATAAAAAGTAGGTTATCTAAACTACAAAATTAACAATATAGTTGATGTCACCACGGCAAATTAAAAGATCATTCAGTCTGGAACCACACTTTGAAGAGAATGCATGAATGGGATTTTAGGAATATTTAGTTTAAGGCTGTACAGAATGGCTGACTCAAAAGCAATGTATAGAGGATGTGAATTTCCATTTGAGAAGAAAACTACTAGAGACAATAATAAAATAGTAAAAACACAAGTAATTTCTTTTCAATTATGGGTTGTTTCCAGAAGTGTTTTTCTGAGACTTGTTGAACAACTTAAGATTTTGGACTTATGCAATAGATAAATGATGTTTTTTTTTTGTTTTTTTTGGATAGGCACTTTATAATTCTATTATAAACCAAGAATTTTGGATTGCAGAACAGTTATTATTTCAGTAATGCAGTTTTTATGCTTAAAATTGATTTGCATGATATAAAATTACTTTAAACACAAGTCAGGGGAGATTAATAAAATAATCCTTTTAATTTAAAAGTGAGCTGGAAGCTGTGCTGCATGCCTGTAATCCCAATGAGTGGGGAGTATCATAAGTTTAATGTCAGCCTCAGTAACTCAGTGAGGCCCTGACCAACTTAGTGAGACCCTGTCTCAAAATAGAAAACAAAAAAGGGCTGAGGATGGCCGTGGTAGAGCACCTCTGGGTCTAATCCCTCGTACCAAAAAAATAAAATAAGTAATTTAGGGAATGGGGCTGTGGCTTAGCAGTAGTGCAGTTGCCTGGCATGTGTGAGGCATTGGGTTCGATTCTCAGCACCTCACATTAATAAATAAAGTAAAGGTCTATCAACAACTAAAAAATGTTTATATATTATATATGTAAAATATATATATTTAAAAGTGAACTACCATTTTTGATTAAAAGATCATTCAGTCTGCAAATGCCATCATTATCCCAATGGAGGATGACAGGTAATGTATTTTTTAAAAGATTTAAGAGGAGGATTGAGATTGAAAGACATATCAAAATGTCTCTTTAGACAACCCTACTTATAATTTAACCAGTGAATATTAATTCTTCAAATACCTTCTCTGTCAGGTTTGACATGTAATATTTGGCTGTTTGAGGATGCTTTAAAGGCAGATCTGTTGTGGAAGGTGTTGAGAATAACCTGGAGCAGATACAGTGGCAAACTTTGCTTCCTTGAACCCTTGAGAGTTGCCCTCTACCTGTGATTTACCTTCAGAATCCTTTCCTCTCCTTCTGTTGTATCCTTCAGTTTTGAGTCATCAAAACTGGTGCATTATTCCTCTAGTGGTATTTGAAGAAATGTTCGTTTTGGGGTGTCTTCGGTACTATTAGTGCTATTGATTTTGGTACAAATATGTTTTAGGTTTAGTGGGTAAATTTTTAAAAATCAAATCTGAAAAATAATTGTCAAGCCAGGTTCTATTTATTATTTCCAGGGAATTTAAGGACTAACGGGCTTCATTTCCACCAGAACTTTTTGCATGTGAGGAGGTTTCTCTTTCTCTTTCTCTCAGTGAATGGTGTCTCTCTCTCTCTCTGTATATATCACCTGTTTGTCTATCTTCTTTATCTCTGTCTCCATCTTATTTTTCTTTCCCTGCCTTCAATTTTCTCTGTATCTTCTCCTGTCTCATTTGGTCTATTTCATTTCTCTTCCCTTTTCCCTTCATAATTTTCTCTTCTTTTCATACCTCTTTCTCTATTTGCTTTTCTCTCCCTAACAACCCCTCCATTCCACCCACCATTTATTTCTCTTTATCAGGAACTTGCTCTTGATATACAAGACATAGCCAGTTCCATTTTAATGAGGAACACCATCCTCTTTATTAAAGGGAATGGTGGATATGTGCAAAAATAATTAATGCAATTTAAAATAGGCTTAATAGGGTGTTTGGGGTTAAGGAACTTCTTCACATTTTCTCCAAAAACTTTATTTATGAAT